AGCATGGGCTGAGCCCACCTGGCTTCCTGGGATGCTGTGCTGGGTACCCCTGTACCTGCGAACTGCCACTGCACGGTGAAGCCGAAGGTGGGCTGCCCCTTGCCACTGGTGTGCTGCTGTGCCCCTTGCAGGGGTGACACCACGATCTGCTTGTTGGTGACCGCCACGGCAGTGTGGTAGGAGCCAGAGAAGGTCCCGGCCGCATCCAGAGCTGAGAGGGTCATGTTGGAGCCCAGCTCATTCCTCCACTGGCCCTGTAGGTTGCACTGGGGATGGGGGATCATGTCGATGCCTTGGGCAGTGCCGAGCCAGGACCCCCAGTTCAGCTTGCCAAGATGTTGGGACACGTGCCCTGCTTATCTGGGCGCAGGCAGAGCCTTCTATACAGCAGCTGGGACCAGTGGCACAGGCACCAGCTGGGCCAGCTCCTCTCCCTCCCGGAGCAGGGCAGGGCAGGGTAGAGCTGGGGGTGCTGGGTACCCCCCCATAGCAGGGGTAGGTGACCAACACTGCCCCTGGGGACAGCACAGCCAGAGCTGGCAACCTGCTCGGTCATGTACGCTGTGCCCTGGGATGGCACGGCAGAGCATTGCACAGCACAGCAGAGAACAGCACAGCATGGCACGGTACAGCTCCGCACGGCACGGAACAGCTCAGCACAGCACAGAACAGCTTGGCATGGCACGGAACAGCTCAGCATGGCACAGAACACCTCGGCATGGCATGGCACAGCTCAGCATGGCACAGAACAGCTCAGCATGGCACGGAACAGCTCGGCACGGCACAGTACAGCTTGGCACGGCACAGAACAGCACAGCACGGCATGGCACAGCGTGGCCCCAGGCAGCACCGCGTGGCACGGCAAGAGCAGGCAGCCCCTTGGCCGTTCACGCTGCACCCCAGGGATGGTACCAGGGAGCGCTTGGCACAGCCAGGGTGTGCAGCACCCCGCCCGCTCACCCCGCTCCCTGGGGACGGCACGGCACGGCATGGCACAGGACACATGGGCAGCCCCCGTCCGGGCTCTGCCCCCAGCCTGCCCTTACCTTCCTGGCAGCAGCGGCGCAGGGGCCGAGCAGGGCCAGGGCGAGCAGGAGGCAGCAGCCGAGGCTCCCAATATTTCCAGGGTACGGTGGGAGGTTGG